GCCCTGCTGCCACCACGTTAGCCCCGCGTCCCCCTCTGCTGCAGGAACCTGCTGGCCAACCCCTTCGACTGTAACTGCCGGCTGGCCTGGCTGGGCGACTGGCTGCGGAGGAGGAAGATCGTCACGGGGAACCCGCGCTGCCAGAACCCCGACTTCCTGCGGCAGATCCCGCTCCAGGACGTGGCCTTCCCCGACTTCAGGTGTGAGGAAGGTAACTCACAGGCGCCATGGGGCTGAGCGGGGGCGGCCGACAAGGGGTCCCCCAGCGGGTGCTTCCCGGCTGGCCACGTCGGGCCCCGCTGCCCCCCGGCACTGGCGGTGCTGACTCCCACCCCAACCTCTCGGGCCTAGCTCTGCCCACATCCAGAGCGTGGCTGAGCAGGGGCTGGGCTGGGACACTACCCGGGGCCCAGGCGTGCGATCCAGCCGGCCGCTGGCTGAGGGCGCGGGTCACGGGGGCACGCACCTGAACCGGATTAGCTCCAGCTGGGGAGTTAACCTCCCAAGCGCGGCAGGGACACAATTATTCTGATTTTTAGCCTTGGTTTGGTTTCGATTAAGGCCACACGAGACTGTAGTGCCGGAGCCCGGAGCCCGTCTGCTCAGTCTCCCAGAGAGACGGTGAAGGGGTGACTTGGTTACGGCTCACAGTATCGCCAAGGGGAACAGGTACTGGAGGCGGGCGCTGCCGTCCAGTCCAGCCGGGGAAGGTCTAACCCGGCCCGGGGCTGGAAGCTGGAGCGAGACGTGGTCAGGCTGGAAAGCAGGCGTGGATCTGTGCCGGGGGGGGGCTGGCGGGGGCTGCGGGCGGGTAGGGACAAGTGACCCGGGCGCAGGTGGATTCTCCAGCGTGGGCAGATGTTTGTCTAGAATCGGCTCTAGGGGCTCTTGGGGGGCAGGCGCAGCGCCTTGGAGTGTGGGAATCTCTGCCCCCAGGATGGGGCGAGAGCCCGGAGCCGGATGGGCCTGTTACTTGCTGTCCCCCACTTTGCAGGCCAGGAGGAGACAGGGTGCGTCCCACGGCCACAGTGCCCTCAGGAGTGCACCTGCCTGGACACGGTCGTTCGCTGCAGCAACAAACACCTCAAGTCGCTGCCCAAGGGGATCCCAAAGAACGTCACTGAGCTGTGAGTAACCCAGGGCTCTCACCGCCCCCCCCCCCCCCCCCCCGGGCTGCGGCTCACGGGGTGGGAGCCTGCGGGGCCGGGCCGGCTGGACACAGGGAGAGCAGGTCAGATTTCCCAGCGGGGGCCGGGAGGAGGGAGCGGGTGACAGTCACAGAACAGCCGAGCCCTCCTGCTGCGGCCGTTCCCCCCGGAGTCCAGGGTGACACCCTGCACGCTCAGGCCAGCTGATCCGCCTGGCATCGCACGCTGCTGCAAGCTCTGCTCTCAGTGACACTGCTGTAAATCCAGAGGCGTTCACCCCGCGGCCCGCGAGCGGAGCCAGGCGTTGGTGTGGAGCTGGAGGTGTGAATTCCCGCCCCAGGAGAGGTGCCCAGCAGGCTGACAACGCCAGCGTCGTGAGGGGGGCTAGCCCTGAGCCAGAGGGGATCCCCCCTCCGCCGCGGCCTGGGAGAGCCCAGTCCTGGTGTCCCAGGGCCCAGCTGGGCCCGGCTGGGCTCGGCCCACGTGGGCGCTGGGTTGAGGTTGCTGCGGGAAGGCCTAGGCCAGACGAAGCTGTTTGGGCTGCTCCAAGGAGGGGGTCAGGGTAGCGCCACGTCCTTCGGCCCCAGAATGCCGCGGGGCGACCAGGTGTGTGACCCGCCTGCCGGGAGTCGGGGGGGCAGGAAACGCAGCTAACGGGGGCTGCACATTAAAGTTCACCCTCCCGTTAGCGGCTGTTCCTGCTCCTGTGACCCCCCCTCCACGCCCCATCATTAAGCAGAAGCAGAACAAACCCTCGTTAGCAATGGGGCGCCCCATGCGCCGGCTGGGACTCTGAGCTCGCCCAGGGCCGTACCCACGGGCCACGCTCCCAGCAGGGCCTGCCGAACTGGCACCAGGCCCCAGCCCCTGTCTGCACCGCGGGGTGAGCAGCCGACCTAGGGCTGCCAACTTCCTACTCGCACTAAACTGAGCCCCCTGCCCTGCCCCCTCTGAGGCCCCGCCCCTCATCCAAGACCCTGCCCCCTCTCACTCCATCCCCCCTCCCTCTGTTGCTCGCTCTCCCCACCCTCATTTTCACTCACTCGCTCATTTTCACCAGGCTGGGGCAGGGGGCTGGGGTGCAGGAGGGGGTGAGGGCTCCGGCTGGGACCGTGGATGAGGGGTTTGGGGTGCAGGAGGGGGCTCCGGGCTGGGGCTGAGGGGTTCGGAGGGCGGGAGGGGGATCAGGGCTGGGGCAGGGGGTTGGGGCCCGGGAGGGGGTAAAGGGCTCAGGCTCCGGGCGGCGCTTACCTCTGGCATCTCCCAGAAGCAGCGGCATGTCCCCCCTCCGGCTCCTACGCGCTGCCCCCACCCGAAGCGCCAGCTCCGCAGCTCCCATTGGCCAGGAACCGCGACTAGCTCACACACATTTCCAGCCTAGCCCACCTTGAGTCTCAGACAGACGCCACACACACGTACACACGTGCACACTCACACACGTGTGCCCCCCTGTGGTCAGAGCGGGACCCTGATCCCCTGTGTGGCTCTGGCAGTGCTCCGCTCGGCACGGTGTCGGGGGGGGGGGTCTCTGCACGGACGGACCCCAGGGCCGAACTGGGCACGGTTGGTGCTGCACCCCTCACGTGAGCCCTGCCCTCTCACTGTCTGTGCGCCGGCCTCCTGAGCCCAGCCCCATCGGTGACAGGCCTTTGTTCTCTCCCGTAGTTACCTGGACGGCAATCAGTTCACGCTGGTCCCCGGAGAGCTCTCCTCCTTCCGATCCCTGCAGCTGGTGTAAGTATCCTGGCCGCGGCGGCAGGGATCCCGTGGGCTGGGCTGGCTGAGACTCGAGCCGCGAAGGCCGGGCAGCGCGGGGGTGGGGGGAGCAAGCAGGCCGCACAGCCTGGAGGCTGTGACAAAGCTGGGATCAGCCCTCGGGGGCTCCTGGCTCCAACCTGCCGCTTCTCTCACTGCGTGCGCGGAAGGTTTCCCAGCTGCTTTCCCACAGGGGGCTGGTGAGGGGCAGGGACCGCGGGGGCCCTTCCAGGCTCTGGCAGGGCGTGTGCTCTAGCAGGCCCAGCTTCTTCTGCCCATTCATCCCCAAATTCACCCCCTCTGCCCCGTCCCCTCCAACCTGTCCCTGTCCCTGTCCTGTCCTTTCCCTGCCCTCGTCCCAGTCCCACATCCCGCTGCACTTTTCTGTTCAGGGCACAGCCCAGCACTTCTGCAGAGCAGCCCCCGGCGGCTCACGTTAAGCACCCAGAAAACCAGGCACACACCATTAGTGGCCCCTTTAAGTGACTTGCCCAGCATCTCACAGGAACTCTGTGGCAGAGGCAGGGACAGACTCCAGTGCTCCAGGGCAGCATTCGACTGCGTTAACCACGGACACTGAGCAATGGTGTAATCACAGACCAAGAGGGGGGCCCCGGGGGCCAGGCGCTCGCCCAGGGCTTGGGCGCCTCTGGCTCTGTCCCCTGCGCTGTGACCAGGAACGGGAACGGGGTGACTTGGGCCCCAGAGGGGAGTATGGGCAGAGGGCAGGCAGACGATGAATGCAGGACCGACCGCGGAGCGCGCCGGTGCTGCAGGGATCGGGGCCATGCTAGTACTGGAGGGAAAATGCGTCTGTACATGGGGGTGAACGAGGGTTGCACAGGCTCTGTTCTGGCGTTTCCTATCGACTCTGCAACTTTCATACTGTTCTTTTAACCCAGTTTTTAGTCCTGCCAGTCCCAGTCTCCTACCACCCAACAGCCCCAGTCCTCTCGGGCCAGGCACACCAGCCTCCTTCCCCCATCTGCTCCTGGGCAGACAGCGTCTTTTTCTCCAGCCTCGTTCTCAGAAATGGCTGAACTGGTTTGGCTGAAACTTTCCCCGAAAATTCAGCCTGAGGCAGCCACCTGGCGAGGAACGTTTCAGCCCACGTGGCTGAAGTTTGGGAAAGTTATAAACAACTGAGAATAAGGGCTTATAATGGGAGGTGTCGGGGAACCTTCCTGGTAGGTGGTGCTCCCAGCCCCTTGTCTGAGAAACCCCACTCCCTTCCCTTTGGAGAAGCCCCCGTAATGCTTGTTCTCCGTCGCCAACCCTAGCCCCCCTCAGGCCCCGGGATGAGCTTCTCAGCCACTGGAGTCTTTGGTCGCGAAGAAGCTCGTAGCTGAGAACTAAAACTCGCTGGATTTGCCGGTGGGCCGCGGGCGCATTGCTCTGCCTTGAGAGGCGAAGCCGCCAGACGGAGGAGCTGTGGGCAATGCACAGCGGCTGGAGCCCACTGTGAATCCAGCCCCTGGCTGCCCATGTGCTAACTCAGTGGTTTGCTGGTCAGAATCCCTCCCTGGGGCTGAGCCAGGAGCCGGCTGGGCTAATCACGCCATGCTGGGACCCCTTGCAAGCCACCCTTTACGACGAGTGGGTCAAATTCTACCCAGGCCCCTGCCCCAGATAAGCCCTGACTTAGTGGTGCACAGGGCAATGCTTCGATGGGCCCATCCCTGCAGTCCCTGGGGGCCTCCCCCCCCTTCCTCCATGCTGCAGTATCCTCACCCCACCCCCACCCCATGCGGCAGGGCCTGGCTGTCATCCCCGCTGAGCTGAGACCCAGCGAGCCTACGGGACTCGCCATGGGGCTCAAAGACTTTACGGCCAGAAGGGACCATCGTGGTCATCTGGTCTGGCCTGGTGCACATCGCAGGGCCCAGAACCTCACCCGCCCGCTCCTGAGATAGACCCCGACCACCGGCTGAGTCACGGACATCCTCAAATTGTGGATTGAAGACGTCAAGTTACACAGAATTCACCATTGACGCTAGTTTAAACCTGAAGGCAAAACCCCCACCAGGGCCTCTGCCAATCTGATCTGGGGGGAAATTCCTTCCCAACCCCAATATGGCGACCAGACCCTGAGCGTGTGGGCAAGACCCAGCAGCCAGACACCTGGGAAAGAATTCACTGTGGTAACTCAGAGCCCTCCCCGTCTAGCGTCCCATCACCGGCTACTAGCCGTCGCTGATTGGCCATTGTGGGCAGTCCCGTCACACCATCCCCCCCACACATGTGGAGCCGATTCAGTGTTTTGCCCCCACGGCTCCCGCTGGGAGGCTGTTCCAGACCCTCACCCCTCTGGGGCTTAGAAACCTTCTCATGTTGAGCCCAAACTTGTTGACGGCCAGTTTGTCTCCATTTGTTCTTGGGGTAAGTCTGTGACGAAGCAGCCAAGTACTTACCCAGCGGAGCAGCCCCGCTCTCCTCCCTAGGGCTTGCGCCCGCCACCCACATGGGGCGAGTGGAACCTGCATCACCCCCCCCGCAAAAATCACACCAGGCCACAAAAAGCCACGACACTGGCTTAGCACCCGTCAGGGTGACCGGTGCCTTTCCTTTGCCTCCTGGTGCCGGCACGGGGAAGTCTCGTTGTCAAGCTTTGCTGTGCAACCCGGAGGGCTGGAAACTACCGTGGCAAAGGGAACGCTCAGCTCAGCGCGTGACTCGGCCGCTGGGGCTTCACGAGAAACACCTGCGGCCAGGAGACTTGCCAGTGTCGTGAGCATTGGCAGCACTCGTTAATCGAGTGGCACGTGGTTAAACTGCCACCGGAAACCGCTTCCTCCTGGAGCTGCCGGCGCGCAGTGTCCCGGGACCCAATGGGCGAGGGGAGCCCGCGGTGGCTAGCAGAGGAATCACACCACCTGTAAGGCACCCAGGGCTGTCCTAGACTGGCCACAGGGGGCGGCATCTCCTACCAAACCACTGTTCCCTCCCACTGCCCCGGCCCCTCGGGCTGCACCCTCCTGGACGTCCCGCGCCCGCCGCGGTGTGTGAAACCAGCCAACGCCACCCCACAGGCTGGGGGAGGCCGAGAGCCCAGCTCCAATTGACACCCTGCTGTGCTCGTGTTTTCCAGTGACCTGAGCAACAACAAGATCAGCTCCCTGAGCAACTCCTCCTTCACCAACATGAGCCAGCTCACCACCCTGTAAGTCCCGGGGCCGCGGGGAGGGGCTGCGGCTCCTGACCCAGCTGAGGGGTGGGCGGGCGAAGGCCAGGAGGTGCTGCAGACAATAGGCCGGGATTGCTGCCGAGGCCTCTGGGCTGTGCAGTCCAGCGGCCGGTTCCTGCACTAAGAAGAACCGTAATTAGCGGCACTGCTAGAGGGCGCCCGAGAGGCTGTGTCCACGGGGTGCCGGGTCTCTGCCGGGGCTGACTAGCGAGACGTCCCGTTAGGTGAATGGCGCGGGAGCGGCCTGGGTGCGTGTCGGCGCTCAGGGAACGTGACCACGTGTTGCTCTCCTCTGCTTCCCCAGGATCCTCAGCTACAACGCCCTGCAGTGCATCCCCCCGCTGGCCTTCGAAGGGCTCCGGGCGCTCCGGCTGCTGTAAGTACGTGCCTCTGCCCGGGCGGTGCCCTGCCCTGCCCTGCTCACAGCACGGGGCCAGGGCGGGGCCCAGCTGGCACCTCCATGGCCCTGTCAGTGGCCTGCTTTGGAGAGGTGCTGAGCACCCACAGCTCCGGGGGGTGAGGTGCGCAGTGTGAGGACGTGTGTCCCGGCTCGGCTCTGCAGCAGGGGGCTGGGGAAGGTGCCAGGCAGACGCTGCGCAGTGCCAGGGGGCGGGGGGCTGCGGAAGGTGCCAGGCGGAGGCTGCGCAGTGCCAGGGGGCGGGGAGGCTGGGGAAGGTGCCAGGCGGAGGCTGTGCAGTGCCAGGGGGCGAGGGGCTGGGGAAGGTGCCAGGCAGAGGCTGTGCAGTGCCAGGGGGCGGGGGGCTGGGGAAGGTGCCAGGGGACGAGGGGCTGGGGAAGGTGCCAGGCAGACGCTGCGCAGTGCCAGGGGGCGAGGGGCTGGGGAAGGTGCCGGGTGGACACTGCGCAGTGCCAGGGGACGGGGGGTGGAGGCGGGTGAGGGGCGGGGCTGCTGCCATGAGCCCTGGGCTCCTGCTCCGCTGACTCCAGGTGGATGTAGCCTGAGTGTCTAAGCTGCCTGGGTGTCCCCCCGGGCCCCGCGCTGGGCGGGCGCGTGCCTGGCTCTGATGGAAATGCACAGGCTGCCCCGGTGGCGCACTCTGGCCCTGTGTTGGCATTAGCCTTGATCCCAAGCTGCCGGTGCCCTCTGGGCTCAGAGCCTCTTGTTCCCGCAGGTCTCTGCACGGCAACGACATCTCCAGCCTGCCAGAGGGCATCTTCGCCGACGTCACCTCCTTGTCCCACCTGTGAGTAGCTCCCTGCGCCCGGCTGCCCCGGGAAGGCCCCACGGTGCCGGGCTGGGCTCCCCGGAGAGCCCAGAGCTCGCAGACGGACCCCAAAGGGCAGGAGACAGTCACTGCCGGGGGGCGGGGCGGGGGGTCTTTCCTTCTGGGGTCAGCGGCGTCAGACCACACCTGGGGCAGGTTCCAGCTTCTCTCTGCAGCCTGGCGGGCGAGACGTGGCCAAGGCCTTGCCCTCACCACCATGTGAGCTGTGCCGCGAGTGCCTTCCCGGCTCTCTGGCCGTGTTACGCGGGGCTCTCAGCACGAGCTGGCTGGGGCGGGAACTCGAGTGCCGCTGACGTGGGACCCAGTAAGTGCAAAGGGGACCCGGCTGCTCCGTGCTGCTGGCGTGCGCCAATTCCCCTGCGCAGCGGGGCCGTGCGGCTGCCCTCACTCCGGGCGACTCGGGACCAGCTCTCTGGCTCCAACAGCGGCTGGGATCCCCCGGCAAACCCCTGGCATCGGGAGCCTCGCTGTGGAATGACGCGGGCCAGTGCCCCGGCCTCTGGGGCCTTTCGAATTCCAGAGCAGGGCTCCCAGCCGGGGGGCGAGAAGTGCTGCCCTGGGAGCAGGGTCTGCGATGCCCCCGAACACCCCTGGCAGCCCCCGCGCAGCTTCCCGCCGGTCCCCGGGGTGGCCGGGCATCCGCACTGGCCCAGGACAGCCAGCCCCTGATCAGGGCACCCGTCGGCTACAGGAGAGACCTCAGCAGGCAGGCAGCCAAGGGCCGAAACCCCCGGAAGTGCCTGGGCCTCACACGTCCTGACATGCCCTGGGGCACGGCCTGGCCAGCAGCCTCCGAGAGCGCTAGGAGGGGAGACCCGGGGGGGTGCTCAGGGAATGGCTCCCAGGAGCCGGGACTGTCTCCGTCCCAGGGCACCTTGCAGCAGTCAGGGCCGAGCCGAGACAGGCAGGGACGCTACTCGCCTGGCTCCGGGGAATGGGGGGCTCCCGCCTGCCCAGCCGGGGTTGGACCTGCTCCCGGCGCTGGTGCTGGATTTGTGGGAGCGGTGTGCCCCCTGGAGGAGGTGTCTTGGCACTGCACCCTTGTCTTCCCCACACCCGCGGGTGGCGGGAGAACCAGCAGCTCCCAGTGAGCGCCAGCCCTGGGCATTGGCCCTGCCAGCTTGGCCTCACTCAGCCCAGGGGCTGCGAAGGGAGCAGGGCCAGGCGGGCTCGTCCCGCCCCGGGGCCAGGGGCCAGGTCTCGCTGACTGGCCTTTGCTCTTGTCTCCCCTGTGCAGCGCCATCGGGGCCAACCCCCTGTACTGCGACTGCCACCTGCGCTGGCTCTCGGGCTGGGTCAAAACAAGCTACAAGGAGCCTGGCATCGCCCGCTGCGCCGGCCCGCCCGACATGGAAGGCAAGCTGCTACTCACCACCCCGGCCAAGAAGTTTGAGTGCCAAGGTGAGGGGCCCATTCAGCACCTGGTCACTGGGGGCTGCGCCCGGCGCGTGGGCACGGACAGGGTCCCATGGACTCTGACCCCTGCCCTGCCCTGGCTGCCATCCCTCGCGGGCTAACGCCGGAGCAAATGGGCTGGTTGGGGGTTGCTGCGGGCAGGGGATCGTGTGCCGCAGTGGGTCACATGCAGGGCTGGGACCCAGGGGATCCTGAGCCCTATACCCAGCTCTGAGACCCCTTCTTCATGTGACAAAGCCCCTACCCAACGCTGTGCCTCAGTTTCCCTCTGCTGATCCTGACCAGCCTCCTGGGCTGGGGCGAGAGTCAGAGACGCTAGGGCCAGGAGGGACCCTGCCGAGCAGCCCATCTGACGACCTGCACAGCACAGGCCGGAGAATCTGCCCTGGATTCTGCCTCCAGCCCAGTCGCACTGGAGTACGTCTACCCCTGACCGCAGCGGGCCGGGCTCAGCCCACTGGGGCTCGCAGCGCTAAGCACGGCTGCAGCCCAGGTTCCGGGACCTCCTCCCCTCATGGGATCCCAGAGCCCAGACGTCTCCCCAGCAGTTTTCCAGCCCCGCCGGCGGAGAGAGGTTGTCTGGTTGCTGGGTGGACGTACCCCTGGCTGAGCTGGAGTCCAGCCCCGGTCCCTCGGCGTGCTGCTCTGGCGTTAATTCCCTGCCGGGTGGAAATGGGGTTCCCCTTCGTTCTAGTCAGAACGGGTCTGGCTTCAGCTCTGGCTGCTGGCTCTGGCTCGGCCCCGCCCTAGCGTGTCAGGGCTCCCTGGCCAATGCGGTGCCGGGCACAGGGGCTGTGCCGGGAAAGGTGCCTGGCTTCAGAAGGGCAGCTCTGCTCCCTGAGCGATGCCAGGGGCTGCCAGGGCCTGGCTCGAACTGTCTGTGACTCGCGACTCCTGGCCCACGCCGGCCAGTGGGCTTGGGGCCAATCTGGCCGTTGCCCCGAGACCACAGAGGGGCCCTTTGGGGTCGGTCAGCAACCGAGTGTCTGAGAAATGAACCCCCCTCGCTAGGCCAGGAACGCCCCCCCTCGCGGCCTGCTGGGGAGACGAGCCCATTTTAACCCCTCGGCCCCGGAGCCAGCCCACACTGCACTGACCAAACAGGGCTTGAAGGAAAAGAGCCGGAAGGAAACCCAGCGCGGCCGCTGCTGCTGGGCAGGCCTGGAGCTGAGACAGCCCCCACCAGGCATGGGCCCTGCTTCAGCCCGGCGGGTCAGCGCTGCCCAGGACTGGCAGGGATGGAAACTTAGCCGCTCAGCCTAGCCAGAGCTCCCGTTCGATGGGCTCCAGGCTCGGTGTGGACGTGCTAGTGGCTGGGGGCCATTGCAAACGAGAACCCCACAAACCGGCCTGGGCACACGGGGACTGGGGCAGGAGCTGGCTGGCTGGTCGATCCCCAAACATGACTGACCGGGGGATCGGCATGGGGCGGGCATCTTGCCAGTGGAGGCCCGCGGGGAGGGGTTCTTGGCCCTACACTGTGTAACGTCTGTATCAGTGACCCACAAACACGGGCACTAGCCCAGGTGTGCGGTGACTTGGCGAGCTGGGGACCCCAGGGGAGCAACACAACGCTCAGAGGGGTCGATACCCTGAGCGCTGAGGAAAGGAAAGGCTAAAAACTGGATGTGTTCAAGCTGGAGACAAGACTGGGGAGTGGGGGGACCTGACAGCCTACAACCATGCGCAGGGCTGTTCTAAAGGGACGGGGATCAGTTCCCCATGTCCACTGCAGGCCGGACAAGCAGCAATGGGATTAACCTGCAGCCGGGGATTTCGGTTTGGGATTCGGAAAACGAACGCTCAGGGCAGCGACGCTCTGGGCCAGCTCCCAAGGGAGGATGTGGGATCCCCATCGTGGGGGTTTTAAGGCAGGTTAGACACACGCCTGGCAGGGCTGGTCTAGGTGACTTGGCCTCGCTGCCCTCAAGGTCCCGAGAGGTCTGTGATTCTGTGTCTGGGTTTCATACGGCTCTGTAACACCACAGCTGGGCACAAAGTCTCGGCCCTTCTCACCCGATGGGGGACTCCGTCCTGGGAAGCAGCGACGCTGAAAAAGACAAGGGTCAGGGTGGACCATCAGCTGAACAGGATCTCCCAGTGTGAGGCCAGAAGGGCCAGTGCGACCCTGGGCTGCGTGAACAGGGCACTCGAGAAGGAGCAGAGAGGTTATTTTCCCTTTGGATTTGGCCCTGGTGCGACCGCTGCTGGGATCCTGTGGCCAGTTCTGGTGCCCACAGTGCAAGAGGGATGTTGATAGATTGGAGGGGTCAGAGAAGAGCCACGGGAATGATTAAAGGATTAGAAAACCTGCCTGATAGTGACAGGCCAAGGAGCTCGATCTCTTCATCTTAACGAGATGGCTAAGGGTTGACCTGATCCCAGTCTGCAGCACCTGCCTTGGGAGCAGGTATTTAACCCCGGGCGCTGCAGTCCAGCCGAGGAAGGTCTCACACGGGCCAGTGGCTGGACGTTGAGGCTAGACGCGCAGACGGGAAACACGGCGTTGCTTTACCAGTGAGAGTAACTAGCCACCAGAACGCGTTACCCAGCTCGGGCGGATTCTCCATCGCTGGCCATGGGCGGTTTCTCTAAACGCTCTGGCCTGGTGCAGAGCGCAATGAATACAGGGCCATTGCGTGGCTCGTGCTGTGCAGAGCGCAGACGAGATGATCACAGGGCTCCTGGCCATGGACTCTCTGAGTCTGGTTCAGGGGCTGGAAATCTGCCACAGGGTGAGAGGCTGCTGGAGCTCCGGCTGCTCAGTGTCTGATGGCTGGGGGGTGGCTTGATCCCGGTCTGTAAGTGTCGCCCTGGGGAGGAGAAGTTTGGCTAGGGACAGCCCTGCTGCCGACCACGCTGGAGCCAGACGCCCATTTAACAGGGAGGGTAATTAACCATTGGCCCCTCCCAGGGCCTGGGGCGGGTTCTCCGTCCCTGGAGGCTTTTCATCAGTCGGCTCTCTCTGAACCAGTTCCAGGAGCTCGGGGCTGGACCAAGGGGCCTTGGGGAGGGGCCCTGGCCTGGGTTGTGCTGGCGGTCAGACTGGGCAATCATACTGGCCTTAGGCCCTTGCTCCGGCCCATTGCAGCCGGCGGCTGAGTGCGGGGAGCTGCCCAGCTGTGCTCCAGGGACGGTCATGCTGCGCTCGGCGCCGGCTGCCTGGCCCGGTGGTCGAACACCTCCCTGCCTAGCCCAGCCGTGCTGCACTGGCTGGCTCCTGGCTTAGCCGGCCCTGGGAGCACGGCCCCAAGGCCAAAGCGCCCTGGCTCAAACGGCGGCCGCGCCTGTGTCTCCGCGCCAGGCGCCTGCTGCCAGCACCTGCCCCCCCGCATGGTCACACGCTGCCAGTGGGTCCAGGGACCCTCCCTCGTTACTGTCGGGACCTTCCCCTGCCAGGTCCGCCGGCCCTGAGCATCCAGGCCAAGTGTGACCCCTGCCTCTCCAGCCCGTGCCAGAACCAAGGCACCTGCCACAGTGACCCGCTGGCCGCCTACCGCTGCACCTGCCCCAGCGGGTACAAGGTGAGCAGGGGTGGGGTCTCCTGGGCGGGTGCACGGGGCTTTCGTTCGCTGTCACAGCTTCCCGCTGCATGGCACGGGCAGCAAGACGTGAGCAGGAGCCCAGGGCTCTGCCAACAGCCCAAATCGGCGGGGAGGGCACTCGCACCCACTGCCTGCGGGCTCAGCTGCTGCCCCCCGATCCTGGCAGCGGGGGACGGGACAGGGACCTCGCGGCCTGTACTGTGTGACCAGCTCCTAGCTTTGAGCTCTCCGTCCCCAGGGCAAAGACTGCGAGGAGCCCGTGGACAGCTGCTCCAGCAGCCCCTGTGCCAACGGCGGGACCTGCCAGCCCCCGGAGCGGGAGGGGGCCGGGTTCACGTGAGTGCGAGCGTGGGGGGTTACGGCTGTGGGGCCCCTGGAGGTGGGGCACCAGGGGACGGTGCTGGGCGCCCACGCAGGGCCGGGTGATGCCCAGCCCAGGGTCGTGTGATGCTGCACCGTGGCTCCCAGGGTGGATCTGGGGCCGGCGTGGCTGGGGTTCCCGGCTCCCCTCCCCACGCACACCCCCCGGGCCGGAGCAGACCGTCTGGAGACCTGCCGCGGGACGGCTCAGTGCAGCGGGGATGGTCTGTGCGGCCGGCTCCCAGGGCGCGTCCCCTAGAGCTGCGGTCGGAGTCTCTCCAAGGGGCTGCGAGCACTTGGCAAGCCGCAGGGCCCCGCCGGGAGCGAGGGGGAGACTTTGCATTTAACCACCTGCAGCTGGGCGGGCGCGTGTGCGCATGGGCTGCGCCTGCAGCGTGAGACCTGGGCCCGGCGGCCTTGTCCAAGCTCACAGAGCCCATCCGGGGGGCTGGGATCCTGCGGGCTGGATGGGGGGGCGGGAGCGGGGAGATGCTGAAGAAGGCGCAGCGAGGAACTGGGAGGTCATGATGCAGCCCCTGGGGCCATGTGGCAGGGAGACTGGGTGCCCCCCCTCTCCCATCCCTGCATCTGCTCTGCTCCGTGTCGAGCGGCCCCTCTCCATCCCTCAGACAGGACCCCCCATGCCGCCGGGCCCAGCCGCTCGCCCTCTTCCCCCGTGGATGAGAGCGTGGCTTAGGGAGCCGAGTGCCGGGGCAGGTGCCCGGGCGTGATTCCCTTTGAGCTCCTGAGTCCAAGCAGGTCTGTGTGCCAGGCCAGTCCCTGCGGGCGGGGGCCCAGCCGGGCGCAGGAGCCAGCCCTGGGAGCGGGGCTCACGCACTCCCAACGGGAAGCTGGAGGCCGCGTGGTCTCTTCCCGCGCCCCAGAGAAACGCCCCGTCACTCGCTGCGGAGGGAGGGAGCCAATGGGCCCCCGGGAAGCGTGGCACAGCAGCCCTGCCCCCCGCGTGCCCACCCCCCCCCGGACACCAGCGCCCACGCTGGATGGCCTCAGCCCGTCGCCACGGCAACCCAGCCTCCGCGCCAGCCAGCCTGGCCCTTGGGGGTTTGCAGAGCTCACCAAGCAGGCGCTGAGCTGGGGCTGCCGGAGGCTCCGGGCACGGCCAGCCAAGGGGGAGGGGCCCAGGGCCCACACCAAATCCTTTGTGTCAGCCAGCCACCCCTAGCCTCCTTTGCACACACACGTGCAACACGCACATGCATGTTGCACCCATCTACACATGTGCAGTGTGTGCACACACCAGCAACACGCACAGGCATGTGCACGTGCACATGCACTCACACGCACACACCGTGCACACGCACACACGGTGCACATGCACTCACATGGTGCACATGCACACGCACTCACATGCCTATGCATGTGCACTCACATGCACACACGGTGCACGTGCACACGCACTTGCATGCACACACGGTGCACACACACACTCACATGCACACGCACTCACGCACATGCATGTGCACTTGCACATGCACTCACATGCACACACTGTGCACTCACACACACACTGCACATGCACTCACGCACATGCATGTGCACTTGCACACGCACACACTGTGCACTTGCACATGCACTCACACGCACACAGTGTGCATGTGCATATGTCCACACTGGCAGTGACGCGAGCTGACGCTGAGCAGAGATTTCGGGCCAGGCAGGTTCTTGGAACTGCGCGTTTTGGTGCTTCCCAGTAATTCATTCCCTAACGGCTTCCTCTCTCCTGGGGCGCTGAACACGGGCCCAGCTCATGCTGGGGCGTCCTGTGAAACCATCCCCTGCTCCCGCCCCTTTACAACCACGGGCCTCCCAGCTGGCCCTGAGACCGGCCCGGGATTGGGTGCATCCCGGGCTGGGGCCCGTGCAGAGCCCGTCCTGGGTGCCCGCTGATCGGCGCGGTGCCGCAGCAAAGGGCACCAGGCCCCAGGGAGCTTCCTGCAGCAGGCGAAGCCCAACCCATTCCTGGAGCCTCTCCTGGCCCGATCCCCTTTGCAGCTCTGCGCCAGTACAGCGCTAGCGGGTGCTGGGCACAGCGTTTACTCACCAGCATTGCCACAGCCATGCCATGGGCCTGGCGGGGGTTCCTGGCTGCAGCCGGGACTCCTGGGGTCTGCCCATGCCTGGCTCTGGTCGGGAGGGGGCTAGAGCACAGGACTCCTGGGTCCCGCCCCGAGGGATTGCGCGCTGCCTTGGGGCGTTTCCTGGGGCACGTCTCCTCGCCGCTCTGGGCGTCGGTTCCCCCGGGGATGGAGGGGTCCCCCTCTCACAGAGCGGTACGGGGTCAAAGGCAGCCGTGTCTGCAAAGGGTGCAGGCTCCCTTGGACAGGAGGTGCTGCCCCGGCCCCCTGGGCTTCGCTTGCTCCATTGAGTGTGTGTGTGTGTGTGTGTGTGTGCGTGCGTGCGCTGTTCCGTGCCAGCTGAGCCGTGGGGCTAGCCGGGCGGCTGGGACTGTGGTGTTACCTGTGGGTTGTTTTCCTCCCCGCCTGCCAGGTGCCTTTGTGCAGCAGGATTCGAGGGGCCGACCTGCAGCGCCATCACCGACGCCTGTCAGGACCAGGCCTGTGCCAACGGGGGCACCTGCGTGCCTGGGCTCGGAAACGCCACCTGTCTGTGCCAGCCCCACTACACAGGTAAGGGGCCGGGCAGCCTCTGGGCCGCCAGGGGACAGCCCACCTGGGAATCGGCCTCCGAGGTCCCCAGCCGGGCACTGTCTGGGTGGAAGGGCCCGGAGCCCCTTCCCCAGGAGGAGAACGCTCTCCCTGGCCCCGTACACATCTGTCTGTCTGCCCCCCACAGCCAGCCGTGCCGCTCCCGCCCGCTCACCTGAGCTAGGCTGAGCACCCAGCCGCTGGAGCCGACAGGCAGCCACTGGCCCTGCTGCTGGTCAGTTGCTGACGTCCGGTGTCCCAGCCCATGCCTGTGGGAGCCGGGCGCAGGCCCCGGGCTGGGTCCCGCTGCTTGTGCCAGAGACGCTCCGGCTAGCACAGGCCAGGCCTCCGTGCAGCACCATGGGCCCTGGCAGCATCTCCCTGCCCTGGAGCCGAATGGGCAAGGTGGGGCGGGGAGGCCTGGCTGGGCACCAGAGGGAACTGCCTGGAGAGCACGTGGCCTGGGGACCGTCTCTGCCAGGCTGCGGTGCCCTGTGCTCGTCGCCCGCACAGACCCACCCGCATGCGCCCCGTGGCCGTGGGGACAGCGCCCAGGCCCCAGCGGTGACGCAGGGGCCCTGGCTGCACCTTCCTTCCGTCTCGCTGAGCCAGGGCCCCGGGGGAGCAGGAAGGGGCCATGCTGGCACTGCCCACCCCAGCAGCGCTGAGCCTGGCCTCTCCCCTCCCTTGTCCAGGACGGGCCTGCGAGGAACTGCTGGATCTCTGCTCCGTGGAGCTCAGCCCCTGCCCGCACGGTGCCCAGTGCGTCGTCACCGCCGAGGGGCCCCGGTGAGTACCCGCCCACGAAGGGTTAAGCCCCCCTGTTCCCAGCCCGTTGCCCAAGACATGTCACGGTCGTGGGCACGAGCCCAGAGACCCCCAGGCATGGGGGAGGGGCAGTGTCTGAATTGGGACCCCGCTCGCCGTTGTGCTGGGGCTGCCCGCCGGGCCGCAGAGGGCAGCGCTGGGGCTGGGGCACCGGCTGCTCAGAGGGGCAGAGCCATGAGCCATGGACCCGCAGCCGGGGGACACCTGGGTGCCGAGCGCCTTTGGCCTGGCCCCCGTCTGGACGTCCCTGTGGGGCGGTTTGCCCTGGTGCCGGAGGGCCCGGGCACAGACCCCCTCGTGCTGGGAGCAGGGACGTCCCAACAGACACTGCCCGACCTGCTGCCCTGTGCGCCCTGGCGTCTGGCCTGCGTTCCGGGGCTGGGACTCATGCTGCTCTGGGGCCGGCCAGCGCCGACCGCTCCGGGGCCCTGGGGCACGACAGCCGCTGAGAGCCAAAGGATCTCCCGACGCGGAGTGTGGAGCCCGGCAGAGCCTGAGGGGCAGCGTCAGCTCCGCCATGTCCCCATGGGCGGGAGGGGGAGCTGTGCTGGCACGGGGCGGGGTCTAGGCAGTGCTCAAGCACAGGGACAGTGGGGCCTACCCCTGCCCTGCCCGGAGCTGGGTTGTGGGATTTCTGGGCTCTGCCCGGAGCTGGGCTGTGGGATCTCTGGGCTCTGCCCGGAGCTGGGCTGTGGGATCTCTGGGCCCTGCCCGGAGCTGGGCTGCGGGAGCCGGTGGATCTCTGGGCTCGTCGGAGCCGCACGAGGCACCTTCCCTCAGGCCTGGTCTACACTAGGACTTTAATTCGGATTTAGCTGCCTTAA